TAATTGTTTATGGATTGGGACTAAGTAAGAAGCTGACTTGGGCTACACTGGGCTGAGGCTGAGATAGCTTGGGCTACACTGGGCTGAGATAGCTTACACTGGGCTGAGATAGCTTACACTGGGCTGAGATAGCTTACACTGGGCTGAGATAGCTTACACTGGGCTGAGATAGCTTACACTGGGCTGAGATAGCTTGGGCTACACTGGGCTGAGATAGCTTAGGCTACACTGGGCTGAGATAGCTTACACTGGGCTGAGATAGCTTACACTGGGCTGAGATAGCTTACACTGGGCTGAGATAGCTTACACTGGGCTGAGATAGCTTACACTGGGCTGAGATAGCTTGGGCTACACTGGGCTGAGATAGCTTACACTGGGCTGAGATAGCTTACACTGGGCTGAGATAGCTTACACTGGGCTGAGATAGCTTACACTGGGCTGAGATAGCTTACACTGGGCTGAGATAGCTTGGGCTACACTGGGCTGAGATAGCTTGGGCTACACTGGGCTGAGATAGCTTACACTGGGCTGAGATAGCTTGGGCTACACTGGGCTGAGATAGCTTGGGCTACACTGGGCTGAGATAGCTTGGGCTACACTGGGCTGAGATAGCTTGGGCTACACTGGGCTGAGATAGCTTGGGCTACACTGGGCTGAGATAGCTTGGGCTACACTGGGCTGAGATAGCTTGGGCTACACTGGGCTGAGATAGCTATAGCTGAGATAGCTACACGGCAAGTTTGGTTTGCTTAGTGGCGATTAGTGGGCAAATTTGGTTTGATTAGTGGCGATTAGTGGCAAATTTTTGAACAAATCATCAATTGAACAAGGTATGCGCTACTCGTGCTACCCTCTTGTCGTGGTTTTTTATATCTTGTCGTGGTATAGATTCCACTGTCGTGGTATGACCCAACACCTCCAGCAGTTTCTTAATAGAACGCCTCCCGCGACACGTTTCCGTCAAGGCGCTCTTCGATGATATGTCGACGTCGTCCTTCCAGGAAGCGCTCGTCGATGTGTGGCCAGGAACCTCACCAGGCTGCAGCGCTGTTGCGCTGGTGATGTACTGAAATGCATATCATGTGTACATAAATAATGTACATATAGATAAAATTATATAATTATATAACAGCAATCCTAATAAGCAAAAAACAAATAAATAGATACATCAAAAAAAGTAATATGACGAGACTATATGTATGTCTGTGGTTCTGTGTCTGTGCTGTTGGGAGCCTGCCTTCTGGTCGTGCGTCTTCATGGATGGTTGGGAACCACAAAGACTCACCCCACCTCAGAAGAACTCGGTGATTCTACCAGGAGTTCATCGTAGCAGTACCATAGCCGGATTCCTAAACGACCAACCATGGTTAATGGATGTTAATGCTACTATCCTGGCTCAATGGTACGATTAGGCAACCAAGCTAGTAACTGAAAAGAAATGAGGGATGAGCAAGGTGATTGTCTAATCATGTAAAGTCTTTCTGGCAGAGAATCGCAATTTTCACCACTCATACCTGGAATTGTTTCAGTGCAAAATCTGAACCCCATCTGGGTCTCCAGGCTTGTGGAAGGGCCCAAAGTTGCAACCAGAAGCGATGATGCAGTAATCAAAGTCCAGAGTTTCCTGCAGGGCTGCAGCAGTGACAGCTTGTGCATCATCATCATCATCATCATCATCATCATCATCATCTGCTGAAAGGATGATACAGGATGGTTGTGAGCAAAGCTGAGCTACCCCACATGTTCAAATTCTTGCCGGCTTGAACCTACTTGGATGTGCACCCCAGTTATAAGTTATGACCTCGGTATCCCAGATATAATTGGGGATGATATGGTTATATAGATATATATGTATATACATATACATATACATACATATATATATATATAATATATATATATATCCTACTTACAAGTGGAGCTGCACTCCCAATTACAGCACAAGACCATCCAACCCCGTCCTTGTTCTTCGCAAAGATTGGCTGATAGGTTGCCGTCTTCTGCTCGCCATTGATCTCCTTCACTTCGCCCCACACGAATTTGCAGGCCATCCGCGTCTGGTCGCGGAACCAGCATAGGGCTGGTGGTGGGCCGGGAGAAATGCTCTGAGTATGGAACGAGTGAGTTGTGTATAAAAGGTTTGATCATGTTTGATCCAAGCCTACTGAGAAGGTATACTAAAATGGCCAGGTGTACAGCTTGTGATTTTTGGGTAAGGGTATGGATCATACCCCTTAGAGATGTATGGATCATGGATATGGATCCGGGCTATGGATCGCCTGTGACACCTGTGGGTGCCACAGGTCAGGATGATGCGTGAGTGTTGCTGCCATTAAACCGCCAAAGACACGATCAAAAAGGTCAGATGGGTGTCCTCCCTTCAAATTATTGAAAATATCCAATGCTTAGCAAAAAACTGTGGTGTACTGTTCTGTCCCCGCTTTGCCTCAATGACTGGCTGCAGAGTGAAGGTCAAGGCATCCAAGTGCTTGGGCTTGACGTAAGCGCGCAAGACTCCAGGAGTGTACTCGAAATACTCCTGGCTTTTCCCGTAAAGACAGAGTTGAAACCCAAGGATCAACAACCAGGGCTAGCACCCCACTAGTTGCTGTGTCACAGATGTCACAGCTGTCCCAATCCCAAGCTGGCCCCAGCTTCCCCGGTTTCCCCAAACTCCTTGGCATCGATGATGGTCACCAAGAAATGTCGCCCCAAGTCACGGCCTGCCGCCAGGCCCGAGAAGCTGCCGCCGATGACCAACACGCGGCGCCTTGGGGGGCCACATTGGATCCGGGGGATGCAACGCCATGGGTACCCAGAGGACATGGGAGATACATATATAGTTACCATTTGTTGATCATTAGGTACCTCTATCTAGGCAATTGAATTCACAAAAAAAAACTCAACAAATGATCAAAAAAGCCTGAGGTCCTGTACTTCTCAGTGTTTGAGTGGCCCAACTGTGGATCATGATTGCCACTTTACCTTCCTATCACAACTTTGAATCTGAAGGTGAGGAGTCAGGAGTTGGATTCGCAAGGGCGAAACCTGGGGCCTCAACTGGTTTGGCGCCATGGAGTCCAAGCGTGGGTCACAACCACCCAATGAAGACTCCAAACAGCCACAGAAATGCCAGTTCATCCGCAAGGGCCATGAAGTGCGACAAATCTGTTCGGAATCCATTATGCGTATGGGTCAAAGCTAAAAGGGATGGTTTCAGATACTACAAAAATGTGTGTGTGTGTGTGTCCAGAATATCCAGAATGGATCAGAATGGTAGTTCGTTTTGAACCATGTTCCTTACACATGAATTAACCTGCATCATCCATAATCCTCAAATTTCAAGCTTCACAACTTCGCACCAGAGCACATTGATGCTCATTGCACTTTTTCCACCAACTCTCACCTACTTTATATGCACTGCACAAGCAGCGGCATGGATTAAAAGCTACCTCGTCACTACCTCCAAAATCTGGGGCATCTGTTGGGAGCATTGAATCACCTGTTTAGGTGAAACTCCAAACAGCTATGGCTTTATGTCACACTATCCCCGACATGAAGTGGCTCATGGTTGGATGAGCGAGGTCTAACCTCATGAAAATCATTCTTCTGAAAATTGTTAGACAAAATTCCACCAATTGAATCCTGAATAGGCACTTGCACCACGGAAATCTCGTAGATGGGGATGGTGCAGCAAGCTACATGATCTATGGAAATCAACATAAGTGCATTGGTCCGTCTCAGTAGCCCCATCGAGGACCGCCACCAAAGAGATGCACCGGGGTGTGATGGACGAAGTACCAAATGCAGCGACCAATGAAGCCTGGAGGCTTGTGGCTCATTCACATGATGATCTTTCAAAAAGAAAAAATGTAGGCCTGAATTGGTTGAAAACACTAGAAAACAACATAATTCTGAACAAGAAAAAACAATAAAGCCAATATAAAGTCAAAACCCAGCAGCCATAGGCGCACTCATCAGTCTTGGAAGCTTCAATGAACTCCTTCTGCACTGCGCAAACCTGACCCCACACGCACATCAGGCCGGAGTTCTTCTGCCAGTTGGCACCGGCTACGAAGCAAGCATCATCAGGACCAAGGGATGTGGCGAACATGCCTGCACCCCATGGCCAGTGCATGTCCCAGACATGCAGTGGTTCTCCGCAGCAGTCGACTGTCTTGTTCTGGAAGAGCAGCCTGTCTGTCTTTTCGATGTTGCTGCATGCAACAATGCACATCTCCTCACCTGGGTAAGAGATCTTGGGGATGGGAGGAATTGGCCAGTCATCTGGCTTCTTGCCAGGCTCGTCGACGCAAGAGTAGTTGCAATCACCAACAGCGTAGATACGGGGATAGCCCTTGTCGTCGCCTCCCCAGAGCTTTCCATCCCGAGTCTTCACCGAGAGGTTTTGGTTCTTGGCCAAGCACCAAGGTTGCTGATGTGTTGATACTCACGCATACTCACGGTGTGTTTGCTGCATTCAATGCATATCTTTGTCTCTGCCTCTCTCTCTCACCCAAAAGTTGAGAACTTGTGTGAATCACATTGTCTGTTCAAGGAAAGACTCTACAAGAAAGATCAGTCATGATTACAAACTGAAAAGAATTCTGAGCACACGACCATCAAAATCCAGCCACCGCCACCAGGTCCCTTCTCACTCAAGGTCTCCTTGGGCATGAAATAGTTCGATGCCTTCACACCAATGCACACGTACTCCTTGTCAGGACCGTTGGGCATTTCAATGCTCTTCCAGAAGTCTGGATTCTTGGCATCGTACTTGGTGTTGTAGAACTGTTTGATGCCGACCTTGTTCATGTACTTCTCCTGACAAGATTTGCGCTCCAATCTATGAAGTCTTGAATGCATGGAAGGAACATGCACATGCTGGCAAATTGTGCATTTTATTACGACCTAGCCCGTCTGCCCCTGGGCCCTTCGAGTCTGACAAATAGTGAAACTCCTCCAGCAATATCATGTCTCGACAAGTCAAGCCGAGTTTCGCAGTACTTGGCAGCGTTGGCTGGCAAAGGACCAAGTGGCTGAGGCAAGAAATCGATGACGGTCAGCTTCACTCGGGGGAAGAAGTGCTGAATCTCCGTGGCCCATTCGACACCAATAAAGCCAGCACCCACCACCAACACGGTGGCCGACCTGTCGTGCAAGCTCTTCAGGAAGTTGAACCTTAGTAGGCCGTGTGTTGAACTCTTTACCTGGACCGACCCCACGTACAAACATGCATGCCATTCTCAAGGACAGTAAACGATTCTCAGCATTGAACCCCCAGAAAATCATGCATGTGAAGCAAAACGATCGCATTTTGCCTCCAACTTTGTTGGAAAATGCGCCACCAGTCACCAATCTTACTTATATGGGCCTACTTTTTGACCCATCACCGGATGCCCACACCAATCCTTGATCCAAGCAACTCTTCAAGGACGTGTCTCCGGCGACCCTCCAAGTATCGCTCATCTAGGTGGGGCCAGGAACCTGGGCCAGGAGGTACCCCCAAATCATCGAAAATTCGACCATTTTAGTATTTTTCGTATGGTGACATCTATGGTGACTTGGGGATCCCCCATTTTATGAACCCGCTACTGTATATGGTAAAAACCTGGACCGACGACGATCTCCCGGTACTCCCACCTTCAGGGCGCGCGTCCTCATGGATGGTCGGAAACCACAGCGACTCACCCCACCTGAGACCAGTTGCTTTGGTTCAAAATGTTGGGACCGTGGCTTGATCATGTCTACTAATTCGTTCAAGTCTTAACTAGACCCAGGTGGCCCAAGGGGAAACTGCTCTGGCAGCATTTCAAAGAAAAGAATCCTGATATGTTGAGACTCAGTGCGAGCCGGAACTGGGTTCCCCCCACTTGTGAAATGGGCCAAAATTGCAGCCCGCAGCGATGATGCAATAGTCGAAGTCAATAGTCTCCTGGGAGAAGAAGGAGACCAGGGAAGGTATCGGAAAACATTCTGGAACTCTTCGCATACATCTTGGGAGCCAGGTTTACATACAAACATAGTTCCAATTTGGCCGTCCAGTTGAGTGGTCGGCTATCTTGATTCTAGTTCAAACATCTATGTATCATCTATGTATAATCTATGTATCATCTATGTATAATCTATGTATCACATATTATCATATATATTATCATATTATATATCATATATTATCATATCTTGTCATATATTATCTATGTATCATATATCATATGAACCTGTGCCATTTTTTCCCATCCATCCCAACGACCGACGAGGCACACGCTCAGATGTGAAGATCGGCTTGTAGGTGGCCGTCTTCTGCTCACCTATCAGCCATGCCATCAAAATGAATAGATCTGTAACTGAGGGTGTTCTAGGGGCTATATGCATAGAGATTTAGAATAGTGTAAATGTTAACACAATAGATCATAGAACTACCTGATCTGGTCGTAATTCAATTGTGTATTAATGTGTATTAACTATATACATATATATACAATTATACATATATATATATAATCATATATATATACACATCAACTTCTATATGCTTTCAACCCAGTGATTGGCAGCATCCAGCCATCCAAAGCTGGCTTTCGGCAAGCTGCCATTCAGCTCCTTGACCTCGCCCCAGATGTACTTGCAGGCCATGCGTGTCTGCATCGAAGCAGGGACCGCAGATGGATCAATGATTTTCATGGGGCTATGGTCATCCATAGATGCCCATAGTGGGATTCTGCAAAAAAATGATGGATATATACTAAAAATAACTAAAGATGTGTATAGTTTGAAAATGATTTCATCAGTCCCATGAGTCATCAATCATGTCCCTTTTGGATAACACCATCCATATCATTTAAAAAAAAAAAAAACATATCTGGGTAAATTATAATATTTCACTAACCTGAATTAAGGCCATTTGGGGATGATTTCCCTTACTAACCATGATTCCAGTGAGGTCGCAGTGAGGTCGTTATAATTTACCCAGACATATATTATATATGTTTATGATGGTGCTATCCCCATGAAATGATTGATATGACAATCCTCCAAGGACTGGCCCTTTACCGGTTTCCTTTTTGGACCTTTTAAGGCAGGCCTTCGAAGAGCTGGTCACTTGCGATATCTGGGTCCCATGCTGAGTATTGCTGGGTTGGTACCCTGACATCTATGGAAAATCTATGGAAAATCTGCTACAGATCCACCTGAAATGAACCATGAACCATAGGACCTCAATGACTGGCTGCAGGGTGAAGGTCAAGGCATCCAAGTGCTTGGGCTTGACGTAAGCGCGCAAGACTCCAGGAGTGTACTCGAAATACTCCTGGCACAGCTGAATGATGCCTAGGCCTTTGAAACTGAGACCATGACCCTATGACTCAAAGCCCATTACAAATATGTGACTGTCAAGCATAATCAAAGGAGTTGGAAGAGTCGAAGAGTCGTCATTTTCAGACAGACGATCATCCATTTATCATCCATTATCAACATCAAAGCCCTCATACCCTGGTAAAAGTCGAGGATGTGTATCCTCCCATCAAGCTTGCTGCTCCCATTGCGACCTTCAACGAAATGGGAAAAGTCCGTGGAGAATAGTATCAAAAAGCCATCCACACCTCTGAAGTATCATGAAATCTTCCATCATGCTATATCATGTTTCATGGTGACTCAGTATTTCAACTTCTTACATCCCATTTTTGGAGCTTCATGGCCGTTGGAAACCACATATTTTGGAACCGCATGCCCCAGGAATCCATAGGAAATCCATAGGAATATCCAGGCTGCCGTCATCCTTGGCATCGATGATGGTCACCAAGTAGTGGCTCCCTAAGTCGCGCCCCGCGGCCAGCCCTGAGAAGCTGCCGCCGATGATCAACACGCGGCGCCTGGGCAGGGCCGGTATTCATGGGAAGATCCTGGGAAAATGTGGGGGAAATATATGGGAAATCCCCTATACCTGGAGGTTTAATGAGATTTATAGCTGGGAAAACCATCTGTAAGTGGGGGATATCGGGGATGAGTGTTTTTTTTTTGAATCTTCAGGGTTACTGTATCCAGGATTGATGATGTTGTGGTCAGCTGACCAGGTCATGAATCCTATAGGATGCATGGTTCCCAGAAAATGCGTGATGGTATTAAAGAGGCTTGTCTTCGATGAATGATTTTCATTGACAGAACAAGACTCGCAACAAATGAGGACCATGACTCAAATGATGAAAATGGATGTTTAAGTTTGGTCAAACTGTAACAGCTTCGATAGTTGACCATATGCCTTTTGGTTTTTACATGGTTGTTCCGAAACCGATTCTCAACCACCAGCACTGTGTATCAACATAGGCCACGCGACTGTGAAGGAGGCATGGTCAGAAGTGCTAACTGTGAACCACCCGGCGCGCGCGCGCGAAACGCGAGTCGATGATCTAAACTCTGAGCCAGATTCCAGCAGAAAACCCATGGGATCGCCCAATGAGATCGAAAAAAGTGCAAATCCCCCAGCCCAGAAACACTTGGATCAGTTTGTTCACAAGTTGGCCAGAAAGTCATAGAAAATCCGATCTAAGCAAGAGAAATCTTCTGTGCTTAGCAGTCTCTTATAGCTTGAATTGTCTTGAAATAACATGCGAGTTATAACCTGTAACAAATTCAAATGCGGACCTTCCAAGGAGTCATCAGGAATCCCTCTCAAAGCTCCCGCATCAGCCACCGGATTTCTCCAAACGCAGCACGCCAAAAGTCCACAGATCTCAGCAGACGCACCTGGCAGGTGGTCGCAATGAGTCATGGCTCAGTTTTGATGGGAAGATCATCAATCAGCAGCCAAAATCGATCCAATTCATGAATGGATATATATATACATATATATATATATATGATGTTACCCCCAATCGTCCAAGATTGTAATTTTGAATTGGAAGTTTGTGGAATTGATGTGATTTAGGTCCTTTTGTTGTTGTGAGAAAAGATCAGACAAGGGTGGCGGGCAAAATGCGAGCAATCCCAAAAGAAATGGTTCTCCAATCATGGCATTTGAAACAATCAACACTGCACATGTTGACCATAAAAGGTACCGGCCATTCACAAAAGAACTGCAAGCACCGGCCGTACATAGCAGCCATGGGCACCTGAGTTTCCTTGCGCATGCGGTTTGAAATCTGCTCCAAATCCGAGCCTAAGTTTCCCAAGTTCGGCAGCCGTTTGTCTGAAAATAGGGTATCGTAAAATATGATGGCTGATCATCATGAATCATGTCCCAATAATAATATATATATATACATATAATTATTTAATATCATTTATATATATATATAATTTATCACTTTTGGGGTATCCTCCATTTATGAACAGGTCCATATCTGCCTCAATTCTTTGGATCACCCTTCAGTCCGAGGTAAGTTCCACCCTTTTTACCATCTTTTCACTGCATTCTTCCTGGATTAAGCTAGCAAAATATAATTTCAGCCATCTATATCCACTCATATTTAGATGGTTTTTTCTCATTGAAAACTGCAGGTTGGTCAATAACCTCAGCTGCAACCAAGGTGCGTAGCACTTTGTACAGTAGTTCTGGAAAGGAGCTCCAGCGCAACAAATGGGGCCTTGATGGCTGATCTTGGGGATGAGCTCGGCGGAAATTTCATGCTAAAAATCAACATGAAGCTCAGATAATGATATTAGTAATGATTCATATAAATTCATATAATTCATTCCATGTCAAATTTCCTCATGTTTTGCCAGTTGAAGCTCCAGTTGTGCATGGTGAACGCTGCCGTTTCACGGGTCACCAGTCACCACTTTTTCAGCCAAGGGACGACCTGGCAAAGTCCGTCAGGGAGGACCTGGGCTGGGCATTTTTCGGGGTCGCAGGTCCCATTGGCCCATATTATTACGATTATTAAGCCCATGTTAATAGTGGTTAATAGTGGCTAATAGTGGTTTATAGTGGTTAATAGTGGTTAATAGTGGTTAATAGTGGTTAATAGTGGTTAATAGTGGTTAATAGTGGTTAATAGTGGTTAATAGTGGTTAATAGTGGTTAATAGTGGTTAGTGGTTAATAGTGGTTAATAGTGGTTAATAGTGGTTAATAGTGGTTAAGTGGTTAATAGTGGTTAATAGTGGTTAATAGTGGTTAATAGTGGTTAATAGTGGTTAATAGTGGTTAATAGTGGTTAATAGTGGTTAATAGTGGTTAATAGGGGTTAATAGTGGTTAATAGTTAATAGTTAATAGTGGTTAATAGGGGTGTGGTTAATAGTGGTTAATAGTGGTTAATAGGGGTTAATAGGGGTTAATAGTGGTTAATAGTGGTTAATAGTGGTTAATAGTGGTTAATAGTGGTTAATAGTGGTTAATAGTGGTTAATAGTGGTTAATAGTGGTTAATAGTGGTTAATAGTGGTTAATAGTGGTTAATAGTGGTTAATAGTGGTTAATAGTGGTTAATAGTGGTTATAGTGGTTAATAGTGGTTAATAGTGGTTAATAGTGGTTAATAGTGGTTAATAGTGGTTAATAGTGGTTAATAGTGGTTAATAGTGGTTAATAGTGGTTAATAGTGGTTAAGTGGTTAATAGTGGTTAATAGTGGTTAATAGTGGTTAATAGTGTTAATAGTGGTTAATAGTGGTTAATAGTGGTTAATAGTGGTTAATAGTGGTTAATAGTGGTTAATAGTGGTTAATAGTGGTTAATAGTGGTTAATAGTGGTTAATAGTGGTTAATAGTGGTTAATAGTGGTTAATAGTGGTTAGTAGTGGTTAATAGTGGCTAATAGTGGTTAATAGTGGTTAATAGTGGCTAATAGTGGTTTATAGTGGTTAATAGTGGTTGATAGTGGTTAATAGTGGCTAATAGTGGTTAATAGTGGTTAGTAGTGGTTAATAGTGGCTAATAGTGGTTAATAGTGGTTAATAGTGGCTAATAGTGGTTAATAGTGGTTAGTAGTGGTTAATAGTGGCTAATAGTGGTTAATAGTGGTTAGTAGTGGTTAATAGTGGTTAATAATGTTTAATCATGGCTGATAATACTTAATAACTGGTTGGTGGTTGACCTACCCCTCTGAAAAATATAGAAAAATATGAGTTCGTCAGTTGGGATTATGATGTTCCCAACATGATGGGAAAAATAAAATTCATGTTCCAAACCACCAACCAGAAAACCTCTGAGACCTTTTTTGAACTCGCTGTGGATGGTCTCGGGTTTTTCTCTTCGCTACCGCTGTTTCTTCTATTCAGACTATTCAGGGCAGCCCAGAGATTCTCGGGTCGACACTTTGGTCGTTGGATTTGTACCTTTGGCAATTCCACACAAATAATTGATCTGATCTTGGCGGAAGAACGTATCCGTAAAATCCGCCCCTTCGATGCTCTTCACCTCAGTTGGTGTGGGATTAAGAAAAACTGCGCGGGCTATGGCTTGAGGATCGCAGATATTCGTGATCCCAGCCATTCTAGATTCTCGGAAACCAACCAGCTGAATAGTTTCCAATTTCCATCCTTTTCCCATATTTGGACCTATCCAGCCAAGTAACATCCATTTTGGTCGTGCCATTCACCTCAGTCGCTGAAAATTCTGCGGGATTCTGCAGGTTCAACACGCTCCGTTCCATCCCATAAAGCCCCGGCCCTGGTGGGTGAATGAATGCCCACCCCCCATATGCCCAGGTCACATACATCTCGGTGGCCACAGCATTATCCAGTTTCGCTCCAGTGAGGCGTGCCAGTTCGAAGTTCACCTTGTGGCGCAAGAGGCTTTTGAGTCAGCAAAAATGGAAGATGTTGTCCTTTGGCCAGCATAAACCAGGATCAACCAAAGTAAAGGCTGAAGCAACCAAGGAAGCTTGAGCAGCATGTTGAACCAATGAAAATGAATCAGAGGATTTTTCAAACTCCGGGAACACATTGGGATCCCTTTCCGTGCTGGATGCCAGGCCCCGGCCCAACGGGGGGAACAAGACAGACATAGCTTGGGAGCTCCCCCGTACCCACCATTGACATCATGGGATCATGACTGAAGGCTCCTCCTATGGCTCCGCCTGGTTCAGGTTGGCTCCGGTGAAGTCTGCGTTGGCTAAATCCTGTGGCCAGGTCTGGTGGGACCTTAGGTACGGGGGTATCTCTCAAGCTTAGGGCCCCACGCAAACCTTGTCCTTGTCTCGTTCTCAAAGACTTGTCAAGCTCAACTACAGTCTTATCATAGAATTCGCATCAATAGTTCTCTGAATCAATTGCTAGTCCTCAACCTCAACCCCCCTGGAGGCACCGCATCAAAGAAGCTGGAGCTTTGGCAATCGGAGTTGACCTAGGCAAGCAGCACCCTGATGCAGGGTGTCGCTCTGTCGTTGATCTCTACCCACTGTGGAGATCATTTAATTGGAAGCAGTGGAAGTACCAGAATAATCTTGATCCAGCATGATCCAGCATGATCCAGCATGATCCAGCATGATCCAGCATGATCCAGCATGATCCAGCTATCCCTTGCCATTCTGAGCTACCCTCAAGCAAATGAAGTCAAGTGACGAACTTGCTCTCCCGCACAATGGACTGCTGGAAGGACACACCAACGACTTTCCTGAACAGCGACAGCTACCGGCAGGCTGCCATAGTTGGAGGATGTTGGAGGTACCCTCTGGTAATTTAACATAACTATGGAAAATCACCATTTTTTTATGGGAAAATCCACTATAAATGGCCATTTTCAATAGCTATGTTAAATTACCAGAGGGTAACCGGGTATCATTTGGCTTTCATCCACCTGTCGGATCCTGTCGGATCCTGTGGGCAGCTGATGTCCCAGTGTCTTGCCGGAATAGTCGGCGCGGGTTAAATCGACACCTGCCGGGCAAAACCCACAGGCCCACAAGTCCAGTCCAGCATCAGTTGTTTCTGTTTGGATGCCTCACTTTGTCACAGAAACAGCAGCTCCAAAATTTCGCAGAATTATATATATAGTCTACCTATCCTACTCCCAAAAATTTCACACAGATCTCAACATCTCTGAAGCACATCTCCACATATCTTGGCACCATATGATGGCCTCGGGTAATGGATTTGCTGGATCCACTATTTTTCCCCGTGGTGGAGGCCCCTCCAGCCATCACCTGAAGCAGAAAGGATGGACGATAGTGGTCACTGGAGATCTATCGAATCTATCGATAGTGTGGGAATCCTTGGGCATAACATAGAGTGTATATATATAATGTATAACATGTATATTATATATATATGTGTGTGTGTGTTATATATATATATATGTTATATATAGTTATATCTTTTGTTCTTGCTTTCTTCAGTGAATCTCTGGTCTGGGGGGCTGAGGCATTGTAGCGACTAAGACTGTAGAATGAGTGGATGCAGGCAGTTTTCTCAAATTGTCTAGACCTTGCATGCAGAGATTCGCAGCATCAAGGCTGGTGCAGCAGTGGAACGCCCCCTCCGAAAAAAAAAAAAAAAAACGCACCCTATTCAAAAAAAGGAGGTGGTGAAATAGTCCATGGAGAATCACTACCAACAAGCGCCGGTTTTTTTTTTCCGCTGAAATACTCCAAGAGAAATTCATATCACTGATACAATGTTGGGTCATAATTCCCATAATTTCCATGTTGTTTTGGCATGTTTTGGACCCAGGGACCCAGTTGACCCGGCCAACCGGTTGGTGGACCCCAGGCCCGGCCTTGGAATCGATCATGGCGTTGTAGGCCACGGCTGGGCTGGCCAGGCAGGACACCAGCAGTATGGTCCAACAGGTGGCCTGGGCGAATCGAAAAACCATCAGCAATGAAATGTCCAACAGGGTATACCCTCTGGGATTTAATGGGATTTAATGGAGTTTAATGGGATTTCATGGGATTTCATGGGATATACCCTCTGGTTATGACTCACATAGCCATGGGATTTCGATGGCCCATTGAAATAGATGGTTTGCACCTATTAAAAATGGTGATTTTCCATGGCAAACTGTTAGTCATAACCAGATGGTGACTCTTTTGGGTAACTCAGCTATTTACATCACCCAACTATTGGGTTTTTCCTGGTGGTCATCGGGTTGACCCACCTAACCCGAGGTGGCACTTGATATTCCACATGGCAACAAGATTGAAGCAATCGGTGTACCGCATGAAAATATAGCTATCTACATTTTTCGGAGGAATATCCCTTAAAATCTCTTATGAAGATTTATTGAGTATAATATAATGTTCGATATTAAATTGGGGTCTCCCCAATTTAATATTGCAACAAATCAATCCTGAGCAGCAAACCAAACCCTGTGTCATCTGCTTGTACTGGTTTCGCAGCAAGGATTCCCATCGTGGATTATGATCCTTCCCAATAAACCAGGTAAAGCGGTAAACCCAATGAATTTCAGTACCCAATAGACTGGAGCCCATGTCTGGTAGACTGGAGCATAACTTCTGAACTGAGCCTACCATGGTCTACCACTCCCCTATCAGAACCAATCTTCTATAGTGGATCATGACAATCTCCAACAGATATCAATATCAGCAATCCTATTTATGATAACAGAAGTAACATGTAGTAACCCTGCATATCTATGATAGCAAAACTATCTCTTGGCCCCTGGGTCAACCCATGGAAGTAGCTTCCTATCATAACCGGCGACCCAGGCACTGACCAGGGCGCTGTTTCCGGTGCCATTTCCTCAGCTCCTTCCGCCGTTCGCATCGTTCGCATCCTTCGCTCGGCCTGAAGCTCCAACTTCACCAAAGGAGGGGAGCGAAATGTCCAAGGGAACCAACCAACCAAGTTATCCAAATGATGTCAAGTTGGAAATTGACTGGGGATATACCATGGGAACCCCTGAATTTTTCACCAAATCTTTGAAATCGACTGTAAGATCTTCCCCCCAGCCAGCTGGCGCCAAGCGTCCAAGTGTCGCGCTGCCACCGATGCATTAGGACCGGGAAAAAGCCTTAGCAGCCGGTGGGTGAGCTGGGACATCCCCTTTTCCAATTGGTTCGGTTTATAGCTGTGAAAATCACCGAACCAGTCATGAAAGATTTTCCAGTCATGTTTGATTACCAGAGGGTATGTTGAAAGACCTATGTTTTCAGTTTGAAGGAATCCACAAAGTTGGAAAATGTTGGCAGAATTGCTGTCCCACTTGCAGTGTGCAATTTGAACCCATGGCATCAAGGTATTTCTAAAGCGCCCTTGGCGCCCATAAAACGGTCTTCGTTCAACTCCCTAGGGGCTCTTTAAACCAGATCCAAGATGATCCAAGTGGCTGTCAATAATGGCTGCCCTCATAATTGGATGGTTAAGGTCATAAAACTACCCTATCAACGGTTTCCGAAACATGCAAGAATCGAATGCTTGACCTTTGATGACAACTAAAATGAGTATCCTTGTTGTATACCAATACCCTAAGAGCATCATAAAGACATCTCCAATATTGGTACAATTTAATGGTTGGTTGAATTGCCATCATCAAATCGTTAAATCAAATCATCTATATAACATTATATAACATCCTGTCTAATTTTGTTATACCAACAATTTATGGTCAATGACACCCAAGGGTCAGATGAATTGCCAATATTCCCAACAATTTTCACCAAGCCCCGCACCAGCTTGGAGCGGACACGACTCCGGCGCAACAGATCACCTTCGCGCCGACGGTCAGCCACCCAAGGCCATTCGAAAAAGTCACTGGGTGACTTAATGGGTGTTCAATGGTTTTCAAGGGCAGTGAATGGGATTTACGATGATTTAAGGGGGGGTTATTGGATTTACTGAAGTTTTGAAGGAAACTTGGAAACCTGGAAGATGTTCCATGATTTTTCCTGTGGTTTTGAGTCATATTTTAAAGGTTCCATGTCACATTTCCCGGATTAAACCCGTCCACAAGGGACCACTGCCACTCGCCATCTGTGGCATCTTCCACTCGCCATGGCGCACGGTGGGCTGTGCAACTGGAGCCCAAGTGCTGCTCAATATTTCTATGGGCATCCGGAACTTTTGGGCTCGACGTCTTTAGCATACCTTCTGGCCGTTAAACATGACCATGGAAGAGCACAATGATTAAATCAAAGGTTGATCATGTTTATGATATTTAAATCACCATTTAGTAATGATAAACATGACCATGGAATTGGATCAAAGGTTGATCTTCCAATTCCAATTCCATGTTTATCACTAAAGGCTGCAGTCATCATCTTTCCTGAGGGTCTGTCGAAACTGGCGGCATCCTGAGCTTTGGACCACCAGCGAAGTTCATGGATCGGTGCATGTTCGCTCCAGTCATACCTCAGCTCCTGCGCGAGCTGAGCTATCCAACTATTGGGCAGTCAGATTTTCTCGGAGAGGGGAAACTGGGGAAAGAGAAAAATCCATGAAACCACAAAAAAGGGTTTGTTCCAAGAAGTGGGTGCCTCCAGAATTCTCAGAGGCCCAAGGCTGGTGATCCCTCATCCCAGCCCATCAGTGAATCCTCCTCAGGTACCTTCCAAGCAGGACTCTGGTAACGGAATTCCTGCAGGATGAGTTTTCACACCTGCCTATGGCATGCCATGGCATCCCGACACTGGCGAATATTTTCTGGACCCTGATTGTCAATGAAAAGCATGCATGTGCTTTCAGGTTTATGAAACCATGCAGTTGTCCAATTCTGGGTAGCAAAATAAATCACGTTGAGCCACATCCCATGTATGTCAGCCTGTCCTGCAGATTGGTATAACCTAGGCGAATGAAGAAGGGCAACAAGACATCATCTGGCAGCAGCAGCGGAACCTGAGTATCGGCTCCCGGACGTGCCCGAGGTTCGACCCACCCAAAGCCCCTTAAGCCCAGGCCCCAAAATCTTAAACGAGTCATCAGTGTAGCAGTGCAAGAGTCCGCATGAATCATCCCTCCCAAAGTCTTTCTTCACTGCCCAAGGAAAGGTCTTCCAGGTCAACAGATCAATCGTCGCCATCTTACATCTCGTTGACTTGTAACCCGCAGAACATAAAAATATATTCTTTATAAATTCCCCAAGTAGTGGATTTCGCCCTGGGAAAATATCAAATCATCTTCAGCCCACTTCAGGCCAGGTTGAATTCTTAAGGGAGTGTTAGCTGGGATGGCGGCAGGATCTAGATGGGATGACAGACTGACTCGGGGCCCCTGACACCTATGCTGTAGAGCTCATAGAAAACCAACTGCTGAGGATCATAGGGCAAGAACCTCAAGGTCCAATGCCGAAGTGGAGGAAAGGTTCCAACATCTGCTGAAAATTTTCTCTTCAAGCCTAGATAAAATGTCATTCATATCCCATGAATATGCCAATATTTGGGGGTGTCATGAATGTCATGATCTCAGATTGATAAGATGATTGACATGATTCATGGATCCTGTAATAAGACCTCAAGACTTCAACGTCCACGTCCTGATGTCAGCCGACCGAAAAACGGCAGCGTGGAGGCCACTGGGTAACTGGGTGAACCAGGCACAGCAGCCTTGTGACGAGCCCAATTACTCCAGGATCGATCCTGCAGTTGCTTCAAGTTCACCTTAGGAGAATCATGGAGAATCCATCCACTGGCTTTGTCCTGCAGACCTAAACCAGAAGTGCCACGGATCAAAATTGGAAATGGGACTAGATGTTTGATCTTGTTTGATGATTTGTGTGCTTTGGAAAGAATTGGAGTTGGTCTCTCACCCATTTTCGGACACACCCTCATCAATGTCGACCAGCATTGCTGGAGACCGGGTGTGTGGCAAAGAAGGTGTGGTTGCTCTCTCGCAGCTTCAAGGGCACAAAGGCTTTCTCCTCCGCATCCAATGGAGTTCTGTCGGAATCCCCAGATCCCATAGGGGACCATCAGCTTTTGTCAAACTCAAACGGCCATTGGGGGGATTTTTCCTCCATTTTCAGACAGACCCAAGTATCAGAATTGTTGGTTATATTAATGTTCTATATAGATATGTATATAGATGTAGATTCTAGATATAGATATAGATATAGACATAGATATAGATATAGATATATATTAATATAGATATATATTAATATAGATATATATATTAATATAGATATATATTAATATAGATATAGATATAGATATATTAATATAGAGTTATATACCCCATCAATCTATATCAATCTCCTCCACTCTTCCCAGCGCCGCCACGAAGTCGTTCAGGACCATGGCCTTTTTCAAGATGGAAGCGGGTCAAGCAGTCTAGCAGGTCAGGGGGAAGAAATCACCGTGATTTCGCCCCAAAAAAATGCGATGTGTTCCCCCAAAAAAATGGGGGAAATCCATGGAAACCTGGGATCCAGTTTACCCAGCCCGGCCAAATCAATTGGCACAAACATCGACTTGGTGACCAGGATTTGCGCAAACCTCAGTTGTCACAAAAGTTCACTCCTGGACTCACTGAATTTCACTGAATCTCAAGAATCTCAAAAGGGGCTTGTGGTCCCTTCTGGTTTTGCCGAAGCCTCCCTGACAAAATGCATAGGTCTCTACAAGACCAGGCAGGGTTTGGGTGGGGTTAGGATCCTTATCCCCTAAACCAAAACCATGGTTGATTGAGAGGAACACTCCTAATCAATATAAAGATCTTCAATATTCTTTAACAACTTGATTTCCGGTGCACTTTCAGGTCCCACATCCTGCGATAGGACTCTGGGTTGCCCATGCGCTTTCGGCTGGTAGCTGGCTCCAGTATACAGCCCGAGCGGTTGAACCTTTGGCCGTGGGTGAGTCGGGTCGTTTGGGTGCCAAAGCATGGGATGCTTTAGGATCCCAAAATAAGGTGCTCAAATGTGCCCAACACGGCGACTCTGGATCGATGAAGCCCTGGTTTCGTCAGGGGGATACTAAACATGTTCGCCCCAATTGGGACGTTCGCCCACATCCAAATAACACACCCAAACGATATCATATATACTTGTCACCTGAGGATGAACCAAAACACTGGCTATACGCCGCGATTTTGACTTTAGGTTTCGGGATTTTGGGCCAAATGGGGGTAAAAAACTGCCTGAGCCACCGGACCACAGGCACCCGAATGCCGGAATGCCAATAGATCAAGGCAGACAGGTAAGGTGAAATGCACGCGAAGCGATTTCCTGAGCTTTCTGGTGCTCTCGTTTTCTTTAATGAAATGTTTTTTGGTACTCAAGAAATTAATCCCAGGGTGTCTTTGTGAATAGTCACTGGCTGGGTGGTGTATATTCTTGTCTCTGATATTTGTTACAGCAGTGATACAGTATGTATGTTAAAGTATCTATGTGTGATTAATTATAAGATTACAGAACCTTCTTGTGGTAGAATGGTTTGTGATTATGCTAAATGAGTGACATTGGCGTTGTTGCATGTTCTGTTTCACTACTTGGTGAATTGGATGCTTGGTTGGGATTTGTAAAGTTAAGTTGGGATTCTTCTGGGGGTGACATGTTGGCCAGAAAGACCTCTAACAAGACAGCCCCCAATGCCATTCTATGATACCAAGCATGTTGGGACTGATCAGCTAGGAATCACTAAGGTGCCCTGCGGGCATCATTCGCCAACTGTTCATGAAAGGCCTCCGAAGAGGAACCATTGGGTGAAAGAACACGCTTGCACAGCTGCAGGGTGGCCTTTTGTCGCTACAAAGATCTTCCTCTTTTTCAACCCAGCGGAAAATTCATCACAACCCTGAGCCAACTGTGTGGTGCAAACGACTTTTTAATGGTGGATCTTGCATATTACCATTGATAATTACCATATTACCATCAACCATACCGAAAAACCTGTAGCATCCCTGGTTCCCTGAAGTTCCCCTGCGGAGTTCATCATGACTGCCTTGTAGAAGTTCTCCTGTGATGTGACGAGTCGTTTAGATAATTGTGGTATTGCTCGAAACAAAAAAGGGACCTGATATGACTTGACTTCTAACCATTCATGATTGACCATTAATATGATCATTCATTATAATGGTATTATAATGGTTATAATCATATATAATCATGGTATTATAATGAATCCATTGACCCTTAATGTTCATTACTATAACCATTGTAATACCATGATTATAACCATTGTTATACGCTCTGAATATAATGGTCTAATGGATTCATTGCATGCTAAGTACTTTGACGCCGTCACATGTTGGCCAAAGTGCCGTCCTGTGGCTCCCCTGGTAAGAGATATGCGCCGAAAGGATTGCCGATGTACCCAAAGATGCGCTTCCGGAGACCTTCACGAATCCCAACAGAATCAAGGGATACCCCAGCGTTCAAAAACCGGTGGTTTCTCTATATGCATATAGATCATCAAATTCTGAGGATTCAGGGGGTCTTGTGAATGCCTTCATTTCGTGCATCACCCCTGAGGCATTTGTAGCTTTGTAGCTGAGCCTCTGACCCAAAAACATCTTGCAGAAGAAGGGCGGCTCGCTGCACATCAAAATATCTGCTGAACGGATTCCAGCATCTACCTGCAATGAGAGGCAGGAGTCTCAGTTCAAACATCTTATAAATACAACTGGTTGGTCCATGAGCCCATTCAGTTGGCATATTTTATATATATAATATTTATACCGTATACCTACCGTAGAATATCATTTCTCCAAAGATTGCCAAAGATGCCAATCAGATCTTTGTGGATGGAGTTCTCCCATTTCGAGGATGGGATGCCTCTGCAATCTCTTGGAACTCCAGCTGCAACTGCTGCGGCTCCGGCACGTGTGGAAACCTCCCGTGCCAACTGAGGCAGGTGGGAAACCAGCTGAAACTCACCGTTGATGCTTCAGGTGGGCCGGATCCGGAGGGGCCAGTCATTTTGTCAGCATGTTATATCAAACCTCGAGATCTCGAATGAGCTGACCATAGCTGACCCATACTCACGACTCCTTTTCTCGGGTTATGTGCTTCATTCTTTTCAGGGATCCCCTCCACTCGATCCTGACATCGCCCTTTGGCGTTTCTCAGATCGCCTGTTGAGCTCATTCATCGCCATAGCTTTTGTGCGAACATGCCGCTGCAGAAGTTCCTAGCGTGCCAACATCCATGGCTCCGAAGAAAGTTTTCGTGGATGGCTGGCTGTCTGAGAATAGGGTGCCCCCAAAAAAAAACCTGGTGACATCATCATTTTGCATTTTGAAATATATAGCAATTTGGGGGCTATACAAAGGCTATACCACATTTTTCAGACAAAGCCACCACATGAATTTCCTGTTTCGCCCATCACATAGAATTGGATTATGGGAAAATTTACAGGAAAGCCCTATATTTGATGGTAAAAACCATGGTTTCCTGTAAATTTTCCCTTAAACCAATCCAGTGACAATCACATGTTTTGACCTGCCATGCCAACTCAGTTTCACACTGCCAGCGCCAAGTTCTTGGTGCATCGGCCCAGGAGATTGCAGTAGTTTTCAGCCAGCACCATCCTCGTGCCGCAGCTGACCGCCAGCGTCTGAAATTTTTGGGTCCCCATGGGTCCCCCCAAAAAAAAAAACGTGGTTTGTCATGATGATATGGCAGTGTGTCAAAACCAATAGTACCCCTGTAGTTCACATCAAAATAGCTGGGATTTATGGATGGTCATCCCATTAAAAATGGTACTTTATAGGTATTGATCCATACCCATATCATGATAAACCATGATGAAGCCATGGGATTTTATGGATTTTTGGTGGACCCTACCAAGTGCCCTGCTCCACCGTGATCTTCCAGCCAGTTCCGACCTGCCGGGCCATGGGTGATCTGTTGGATCAAAAATCCCAAGACATCATTTTTGACATTCCAAAAGTGGCGGATCTGTGGGTCTCCCATGTTCAACATGCTATTGAAAATTTGGAAATCTTTGGAAATCTTTTGGAAATCTTTGGACATCTTTGTAAATCTTTGGAAATCCTTTGGAATATGGATAGCCCCTCCACTGGCACAACTTTCCTCAAACCAATCCCAAGCACACTGGGCTTGGAGAATTGTTGATGCCGAGCTGCAAGAAAATCCTTCCAAATGCTTTCTGGTTCCATAGCCAGAGTGGCCTCACAAAAAGCTGTCATATGGTGTCACGCATTGAGAAAACACCCTAGGGATCCCTAGGGCCAATTGCAAGTACGTCAGTTCAGTACAACTTTGCAAGTTGGGAGTCAAAACCAATTCCTTTTTCCATGTATCTTCCCTTCATTGGTACCATGACCATGTCTGAAATGTGGTACCAACCCAGCACCAATCCCACCAAAGTCCACCTTTGAGTCTCTGGGCTCCCTGGCATGCAGCCCAAACGACCAAACACGAACCTTCGCGCAGGTGTGGAAAATACCCAAGTTTTAGCCAATCTAACTATGGAAAATCACCATTTTCAATGGGTAAATCCACTATAAATGGCCATTTTCAATAGCAATGTTAAATTACCAGAGGGTAACAACATCGTCACCCTTACACGTGTTTGCCATGTTTACGCACATGTGGCTATGTTGTGCGCACGATTGTTCAACATTGTTCATGGATGCTCATGGATGAATCCTGACTTAGTCGCCCCAGCAAGCTCCGACTCAACACAAATTCAGCCCTCAAATGGCATTTTTGGATGACCATAGCTCCCTTGCACCTCCTGTAACTTGACGCCCACCTGGGTGGTTGCTGAAGGCCAGAGATTCCACTGCAACAACTCCAGAGTGCAAAGGATCCCCACTTGGCTCGCAGGATCTTCTACAACTGACTTCCACATTCCACCGCCACTGGGTGGTCGCCAATGGACACTGTGTGAACGATCACCAGTGGCCTGCACGCGTTTCGGGCTCTCGAACTTTCAGCTTCTGATGCGTCACTAAGCATGAAGCAACATTAGATCATGAAGGCTCTTTTGACATTTATCGACACCGTTCAGCAGGTCGCACAAGGATCAACTTTTGCGTCTTCGGCCACAACGGCTTGAATGACATCTCTTGCGAACCCCCCAAATAATTTCCACGCGAAGCACTATACCCAAACAAGCCAGAAAATGTGACCAGGGAAGTTCCTTTTCTGCCATGTTCTACCCATGTTCTACCCATAGCACCAATAGCTATGGTGGGGGACTGTCATCGCCATATCGCCATACCGGGCCTCGGCCAGGATGTCCTTGGAGGGCCGTCCTGGAATACCGATGGGGATTTATTTTACCTTTGGGGAATACTGAGATGGATATATCTCCATCATTGGATGATCATTGGATATCTCCAAGATATCACATGTTTCAAACATCCAAACATGAGACTTTCAACACTTTCACATGTTTCAAACATGTTTCAAAGCCATTGTAAGAGATCAGAGTGTTCTCCCAGTCATTGGAGTAAGCCTGGGTTACGAAGCACTTGTCCTCTAGAGGTGATGGTAGAATGGCAGCTATGTGGCAAACCTAATGCCATCTGCACCATCCCCGAGTCATCACCTTTTTGTTACGGCTCCTATAAGCCATCCCCAAATGGTAGGTTAATTATTGGGTGTCCCACATTCATTCATGATAATTCATGATGTTGCTTAAACAATAACATCTATGAATCTATGACATGTTTGCTAAAACATAAGACGTTCCAGTTGAGGTGTCCAAGTCCTCCATGCCATGTGCTACTGCTTTCACCCGACCTCCATTCTTCTAAATTGAAGCAGTGGTCAGAAGTTTGCATCGAAAATGGCCCGAGATCTAAGGGTGAAAGCAAACACACCTGCTGTCTGCAAATTTGAAGTCCATGTTCAATTCCAATGGCGCTTCTGCCTACGGACAAACACCTTGCGTGCCCTCGCCATTCCGACCAGTTCATCAGCTCCGAGACACTGAGATGTTCTGCAAGCGAAACGGCCACACAGAGGAATCCATGAGGAGCAAGGGAATGTTCGGTGACCTCAGAGATATGAGTGGTGCGACCAGGGGTTCGTGCGGAGATTCACGAACGGCTTCAGTCTTCAGCAATTCCTTGTAGGAAACTCCATGTTCTGGGAATCCCATCAATTTTTCTACAATGGAGCGCCTACTAAAGATCTGATCAATCCTATGCGCTCCCAAAGCTGGGGTCAACTACTATATACTACTATCAGCAAGGTACAGCAAACCATCCCATCTATGTGGCTGAGCCCAATTTTCAACCATTACCCATGTCCACTCCCACCTCCATAGGAGCAATAGGATCCGCAGCCACTCTGCCACGTTGCTTTCCTGACACCGGACAGCTCTTTCAAAGATGCGCCGGTTGAAAGCTTGAAAGTGGGAGCTCAGAAATCCCAAAGTCAGGCCCAAAATGGATCAAGATGATCAAGATGATCAAGATGATCAAGTCATTTATCTTTGGATAGCTGGACAGTCCATGTCCACGGCCACCGGTGGACAGCGTCCAGCGTTCACGTCCAAAGCCTGGAGCCGTTGCCAGAAAAGGTGGGAGCTATAACTAACATTGAAATAGTATATTGAATGTGGCGGTGTCCTAAAAATGGGGATACCCCAAATCATCCTAAGTAATTACCATCCAAAATTAGACCATTTTAGTATTGAAACACATGATTTTGGGGATCACTCAGTTTAAGAAACACCCATGATGTGAACGCCTGCGAAACCGTCCCTCACCGTCCCTAGGGTGCAGAAACCGTCCCCGCGAACGACAGGTGTATGGCATTGGGCTTACCACAAGACACAACTATCAATATACTAGAATGCTGAACAAAATAGTAATCAGAATCATAATCATAATTTTGACAATAGTATATATAGTAATATATAGTATATTATAATATCCTATTACCAAAAAATCATAATGGTGAACAGCTTGCCACTTCAGTGCCGAAAAAAAACCGCTGCCAAGGCACAATCCGCAGCAATATCGCAAGGGCCTCTCCCATCAATCCACTGAGTGATTTTGAGCCATCCACAACTCTTAAAATAGAGGAACAAATAGGCAAGAAATGGGCAAGAAAATCATCAAAACAATGGGGAAACAAAAACGACGGCAAAAAAATAGGGAAGAAAATATGGTAGAAAACAGGGAAGAAAATACGAAGAAAACTAATGGCAAAAATACCCTGAAAGTCCCAAGACCCCAAAAAGAACAGCCACTTGCACAGTGGGACTGAAAGGGATTATTAAAAAAGTGCCTAGTGTTTCCACGGCCGAGAAAGTGATGGAAATGCCGAGTGTTTTACGTCCGAGTGTTTTACAGCAAGGAAAAACTAGAGCGCGTTTTGATCAATCACTTTGCTGAATGGCAGTCAAGCTTCAACAATCTTCAAAAACAATGCTCACGATTGCTCACGATTTCTCACGCTTTCAAATTTCTCACGATTTTCTTGGTACCTTATCGGTCTTAGTGTACCTTTTAGCGCTTTGACTCCTACCTTGTGGGTCCTACTCGCTAAAACTATCGAAAACTCACGCTTTCGAAATCTCACAACATGGTGACCTTTGGATTGCTGGCAGGGCCTTTTGGGGTCCCGATAATCCAACATAATCCAATGTGCTTTTAGTCCAAGAGGCTCAAAAGAACATTCTACCCGGGTGTTCCACACCGTACTTTTTAGTCCAATGGTACTAAAAAGGTACTAAAAAGGTACATGTTCCGTTTATGGCCACTTCCAATGATTTAGCATCATATAGCTAAGACCTGAAAAATACGTCCAATGGATAAAAGCAAACATGGTGAGAAAATAGCGGAGAAAACACCACACGACTGAGACCCAGGCATTGACGTAGCCCAAGAGACACACGTGTAGCTCCGTAAACCTGAAAAGAGGGGAGACTTGCTGGGAGTGGTCATCTCCAATTCAAATGGTAGAAATAGTAGACGAAATTGTGGTGTCAAATGGAAGAACATGTGAAAAAGAACTGTTAAATAATGTTAAAAGAAACTGTTATGTTGTATTATATGATATTATATGAACTGTTAAATAATGTTATATTAAAGCCGTTTCTGTGTTTCTGTTCGAAGAGTGTCCAAAAGTGGCGCCACTTCGCATCGCTGAGCTTCGCAGCAGCTTCAGCGCTGAGTGTGTGGAGTTCACATGCGAAAGTACCTGGAAATCCCAGGATTTTGGGACCCTCTGGTAAACTGACATAGCTATGGAGAATCACCATCTTTAATAGGTAGATCAACTATAAATGGGCCATGTTCAATGGCTATGTTAAATTACCAGAGGGTAGAAGATTGATTTCACAGAAATATTCGGAGAATAAGGGGAAGGAATGTGAGGATGACCCGAAGTCTAAAGCTGGGGCCATTCAGAAATGTAGTTTTCATGAGACCTCCAAAAGGACCTCAATCTGCGAGGGAGGTCTTAAACTCACCAAGCCTTGAACATCTTGAAACCTCCCGGCCTTCTCCCGCTCATTCTCCATCTGCATCGCGCTGCTGAAGATTTCAACGAGCTCTTCAGACCTTGCCAACAGACCCTTGACGTGGCGAACATTCGAAGCCCCGCACATGGGCTGGGTATATATATCCGATATATCCCATACATGTTGAAAGTATTGAACTACCATGAACTACCCATCCAATTCAAGTCGCTTCTTGACTCCCCGGATGACAACACGACACTTTGTGTGACGCATCGCCCGCACCTCAAACTCGAGCAACTCCACCTGGGTTGCCTGGCCAAAAACGATCATCTCTTTTTCAACCCCTGGAAGTTTGCGATCAGTTTAGCAGTTCATGGGCCAGGACTCTTTTGACATCTGTGAATTCACAATGTGCCGACTGCTTCAGGAAACTCAAACGCCTGAAATCCTTGCGAATTCCTAATGGTATAAGGTATACTGTAGTTCAAGACTATCTCAATTGGAAAAAAATAATAAACCCTTGCCACCGTCCCTGTCCATTGGGAATCTTCCCACTTCCCATGCCTTTCGGAATGATATGAAGCATCCTTCAGTGACTTGGAGACATGGCTGGTACCATGCCATGACCATGACCATGCCATGACCGAGGCTGAAAGGATTGGCTTTACCACATTACCACATTACCACATTGCGGCTGCCCGCCGCGAATCGCGGCTGCCCGGCTGGCTTCCCAAGCCCCATGGGATCACCCTTCCAAAGGCACAGCTGGAAGCTCCTTCCACTGATGACTTTCAAAGGCCCGAAAAGCAGTAGCTCCCACCAGCCTGGCCAAAAAGATCACTGGATTCGAAAGGAAGAAATATGAAGAAATTGACCCAAAAACATATGGCGCTGAGGATCCCAACAGCTTCTGGAAATGGTGCCATCCTGTCGTATTTTGCGCTGTTGCTGGATATCACTGATTGATTTTAAGCACGGTTTTGATTTCTAGCCAGTATAAGCCAGTTGTATGTAGCTCATCATCTAGGACCAAGTTGACAAACAGCCGATGATCCTCCGCAGGACAGATATGGAGGCTGCAAATGCACCTCGGCCCAGCTTCGACATGGGTTTAGAAAGAAAAACCACCAATGGTAAATATGGGAGTTTTCAATAAGAAAAATTGGGCTTTCCATAAATGGTAGATATATAGTAGCTGGATAGTTTATAAAGGACAAATTTCAACAAAAAAATGGATGATTTGGGGGTACCCCCCTCTGTCAGCTGGGGTGTCAAGCAGCCGTGAAGGCAGTGGCGGGAAGCAGTTTCGCCACCCTCCTGGGACAGGTGCGGAGAGGCAGCCCCAGTTGGTTAGTAAATGAGCAGTGATGTATAATCATTTACAAATTTTGGTGTGTGAAATGATCTATCATTGCTTAAAGCCAAGATTTCGAACTGAATATAAATGATTTTTGTCATGGAATCACAACCCCATACAACGGTTACTCTAACATCTGGATTAATTCCCAACCATTTGCTGATCTCAGGGATCATCAAAGTAGTGATTTGTCGATTGGTCAAAAAAATGTGACGCTGGGAACCACAGGTCATGGCAATGTTTGGTAAATGATCCGGATCTGTGGTTGGTTTTGAAGCCCGGCACCCCACTTTCATGTTGTGTCATACGGGACTTGTGTGGTAAGGGATGATCATGTCAGGACCGCTCTTATTTTTCACCACGCCAGGTGGGTTTGTACTGATGTCTTTCCATCAGTAAGAAAAGGAAGGCCTTGCACTTCTCCCTGCAACACCACAGGGGCCCCTGCCAACACAGGGGAGATGCATGCACCTAGTCCCTTACGTTTTGTGAAGGGATTTAAGTATCCCCCTCCTTTCCTTTTCGACCCCAGTCGGCAACGAAGCCACCAGGGATGTGGAGGGAGGGAGAGAACAGCTACAGAAAGGAAGACGGCATGTTCAAAAACTCAGTCGTGACATGCACCCAGCTTCCCCTTACATGAAATTCCAGGGTCCACATATTTCCATGTCAGGACCGCTCTTATTTTTCACCACGCCAGGTGGGTTTGTACTGATGTCTTTCCATCAGTAAGAAAAGGAAGGCCTTGCACTTCTCCCTGCAACACCACAGGGGCCCCTGCCAACACAGGGGAGATGCATGCACCTAGTCCTTGTTGTGAAGAGCTCAGCTGCAGTTCAGTCACCATTGCGGTAGCGTCCTGCAAGTACAACCTCGCAGAAGATGTTGATTGCCATCTCCCACGGAGTAGCGTTCTTTCCATGGATTGGTGCTGAAGAAAATCCCAGCTGGCACCTCCTCTTCGGAGTGAGTAAACAGTGATCAGCCCATCAAGTTCAAAAAGATCGACGAGGGAGTTGAAGAGGCTTCTGAAGACGCGTGGCCCCCGCCCAAGGAGGAAGTCTTTGCGCTGCCTGCCAGCACAGGCCCTCTTCAAACTTTGCACTGCCAAAGGACTTTCCACGACCACCATTTCGGCCGTGTTGGTTCTTTTTCCTGTTTTGGTGTATCCGAGGGACAGCACGGCACGAGCACCGTAGAAGTTGACATCTTTGACTTTCAGGTGGTATAGCTCCCCACTTCGTAACATGGTGTCGAAGGCCACCAGCATCCCACTTGCCTCGGACAAAAATCCAAGGCTTATTGCCGCACCTGCCATGGCCTTCACCATGGTGGGGCTAAGCGGGAGCACTCTGCGTGGAGGCTCAAGCTTTTGCCACACTTTTGCCAGCTTCCAGGAGTGTTTCAAGCGACCCAAAGCGGCGGGCAAATAGAACTGCAGTCCTGCCAGCCCGTCACTGGCCAATGGTTTGTGGCACCCGTCGTGGAAGATATGCTCCACCCATCTGGAAGCGAGCTCGTCTAACTCTTCCCATTGATGAATCTTATAGTTGAAGTCTTTTGCGAAATCGAGGAACTGAGTGACACTCTTTTCGTATCTTTCCAGCATACCACTGGATACCATCTTGTCTTTCAATGTAACTTTCGCTCTTTCAGCTTTTCTGGCTTGCTTTTCGGTTTGGCTTTGTCTTCTGCCCATCGTGATGGGATGTCAGAGGGATTGTCCCTCGTGTCAATGTATCTCACCGCCACCACGGTGCCACTGGCCACCACCAGTGCTGAATACTTTGACACTCCCACCTGCAGTTTAAAACTGCTAGTTCTTCCTTTAGCCAAAATGGCTGCAATAACTTGCGAGTCGACCAAGTGTAGTATTCTATGACCAGATCTACATGCCTTACGCAGCCTCCATCTCAAACCATTAAGCACCGCTTGAAGTTCTAAACCATTGATATGGGCTTTCTGTTGCCAGGAATAACCATGGACAATGGACCAGTTAAAAAGACGTGACCTTAAACCTGATCTCGGCCATGCCTTCATTCTAAATGGAACGTTGATATCCAGTCTAACATCTGCGCCACCCCTTTCACCATGACGAAGTATGTGGCTAACCAAAGTTTCAACCTTTGTGCATTCGAAAGAACCATTGACGAAAGCTGGGTATTTAGTCCATCCTTCAGGGGCATCCCCTGAAATGCGAACCAGTTGCCGTGGGCTGCGAGTTGGCTGAGCCCCATGTTGTCGAAGGCATTCATGTAGGAGCATCATCACGGCGTACACGTTGAAAGTGTTGCCTATCATTTGTCCACCTATAAGTTCCTTTTGGGCCTGGGTCGTCTTTGAACCAAAGCAACAGGAAACATAGCCCCGATCGAAGCCCATGACCTGTTCTTTTTCTTGCAGGCTTGGCAGACGAAGACTTCCTTCTGGAGTTTTGATCATGTTGTGCTCCTCATAGTTGTAAACCTGCACAAAATAAAGGTCTTGCTTCCATCTTTCAATAGCCGCGGATGTTGCTGCTTCCAAGCCTGCTGGCTTGCAAGGAGGTCGACTCCTCCTTTTTGGTCTTGTGAACGTCGGCAACAGACCTGGTGCCTTGGGGGTCCACGTGCACCCTGGTTCCAGCCAATCACTGGCAGGGCCTCTCACGCACGGAAATGACCATGCCCACCACAAGCCAGCGTCTTTTATTGATTCTTCGCCCTGAGCTTCAATTTTCCAGCTAGGCCAATATAATCGCGGTCGTCGACAATGACAGAAATGATGAGCATCCAAGAACACCGGTTTGACGCCAAGAACTTCTGAAAATCTTTGCACGTTATCAGCTGTCATACTTGCCACATTTTCCACAAAGTACTCCACTGGCACCTTGAAGTGATCTTTCACCAGAGATACGACTCGTGGCACTTCAAAGAAAAGCCTCGATCTTTCACCTTCCAGCCCTTGGCCTGTAGCATTGAGACCACTGAGATCCTGGCAGGGTGACCCGGCTCCTATGAGGATAAGGTCAACTTTGTAGCCCACTGCTGACACGAGGTGCTCGACCAACTTAGCATCCACCTTGGTAACATCGCCAAGTTCTAGAACACCTGGCCACCGCGTGCGCGTCAGGCGCTTGCAAGCTTTGTCCACCTCGCATGAGATGTACCCAACAACTTGACAGTCTAGTCGAGCAAGAGCCACCATCATGGCCCCGATGCCATCGAATAGGGAAATGACTAGCACCCGTGGCCCAGACTTTGTTTGATTTCTAGAGCAGCTCCCTGCCGGGGTGAAGGATACTTTTTCCCGCTCAGCTCCTTGTGCCTCTAGACTTTGCAGCGTCTCCGCCCCTTCTGACGTCAGGCCAGCGCTAGCACAAAGTCCTCCACCTTGCTCCGACGCATCAGAACATGTTACCAGCCCACTCACTGGTGTAAACAAATTGCTTACTGCCATTGGCATCACACCGACCGCTGCTATCAGCTCCAGTATAGTTCTTTGAGACAAGGGTCGGCCCACCACCGCCTTGTGTCTGGGCCAAGACCGGTTCAGGATCGACATCAGGGGCCGTCGGAATTCAAAGGCCCTTGTCAAGCGGCCCAAAATCATCATCAGCACTTTTTGCCAGCATTGCTGTCGTTGTAGCGCCCAAAGCACAAAGTAGCCACACTCCAGCTTCTTCTTAATGGGCACCCCCAACCAGCCGCCTTCTCCATCGACTTCGGCACCCATACGCTCAACACGCACTTCACGTGTGTGTGCTTTGTCTTTGGAGATTTGCACTCCGGCTCTAGTATAGGCTGCCCTTTGCTTTACATGTTCTGGTGACATTGTTCCTTTCAGCTGATTCAACATCTCCCTTGGGATAATTTCTGGGCAGTCAAAGTCATCCAAATAAAACGACAACCAGCCTCCTTCGGTCCTTGTAGCGCTCGTGGGCACTGGGCGATCACGCCTCATTTCTGTGTCTCCCTCTAGGCCAGCGCCTAGGGGCTCCGGCTGAATCCGATACGTCGATGAAGATGTTGAAAAAGCGACACCGAGTTGATCCATCCCATCGGGATTACTTTTGATGCCAACCATACTTCATCTTTTTCTGGCATACCCAGAAATCTTCCTTCAACAGGCCACTTGAAAGCCATCAACTTCCTCCACTGTGGTGGCAAACACCAGGCGTAAAAAGCGCCCTTCTGATCATCACCCGACCAGAGTAAAGCCGACCCCGCCGGTAGCTGACACCCTGCCCAATGGCTTGCAGCTGCTAGTGTGTCTAGGTCGCCCTGCTTCAGGTATTGAAGGGCATTGGAAGGGGTCAAATTCATAATTAATCTTGTGAGTCTTTCCTCCCCCGGGGCCGGGGTGCCCTTCTTTTGCACACAAAATAACCCATTCAGCACTGGCACACCACCAGCTCTGAAAATGTCCTCATAGTCAATTGGAGTCAATATATTGCGCTCCACCAGAGCTGCAGCAATCTCATTCCAGTCCTCGCGCCTGACGTTCATCGAAGCTTTGGGCAGCGGCTTTGGCCATTCTTCGGGTGGTCGAAGGCACTCCTCTGGATTGTTCAGCCAACACTGAACCTCCTCACTTGCGACTGCCGCCGCATCCAGTGAGCCCGCCACTGCTCCTTCAGGTAGTCCCGGCAAAAGTTCGCCTAAGCGCAGGGGGAGTGCGTGGGAGATTTCCTCACCCGTGTAATCAATACCTTTCATCCTCACCAGCTCATGAAAATCCACTGGCCCTACTTCTTTAAATGGATCTTGACAAAAATAGTTACAACACTTCTCAATGTTGTCTCGGGCTTTCATCTGGGAGGGGGTGTGATTCTCCCAGCTATAGAAAATGGGTCCTTTCCATCCCAGATATTGTCCATTCAAAACAGCAGTGGAGTTGAAACGCCAAACTTGTGAGCAAGCCCTCATCAAAAGTTGTTTTCTTTGTTGTTTTGGGATAGTCCTCAACTTCTCAGGTTCAACTATAATAAATCCGTTTTGGGATGATGTGAAGAGTTTGATAACTTTCATTGCAGCTCCCACAGACGACAACGGTAATGGTAGCACATCCCTTTGTCGCCGGCTTGGCGTGGCAAAAGATTCACTTTCGTTTGATGCCTCACGTGGCATAGAGAGCAGGAGCTGCATCACACTGATTCCCAACTGCAAAACATTCCGACCAGTAAATTCACTGTACAACAAAAATAACTTCTTTTGAAAATCGTTCCATGAGTCACAACAAAATGCCATGAGCTCCCAAAGCTGTTGAAACAGGGCGGCCCCTTCATCTGTACAAGTGGGCCCTTTCTGGAAAAACTTCCCTGAGGAATTTCTCAGGTGAGAGATCCCTGGAGCCACCACTCCAGGCTGCGCCTTTCTCCTCTTCACTGGTCTGGCTTCCGACCTTTCAAGTGGTCGAACACCCGGTTCTTCCATGCTGCGCGACTTTCCCCAGGCTGCCTGGGGACTTCTGCACGTGCTTTGGCCACGGGCCCCTGCGGCTTCTTTGGAGGCGCGGCCTCTGGACTCTTCGGCCTCCTTGGAATCTCCTTCTCCAGGTCTCCTCCAACCTCGTCGTTGAACACCGCTCTCCTGATGGCACCTTGACGGGGACGTCGAAGAGGAGATCTCGAATGCTCTCTTTTGACCTCTTCTTTGGGGTGGCGCTGAGGGGGAGGACTGGTCAGACGCCTCTCCCCACCGCCGAGTCCCTAGGACTTGCGTCCTTGGGCCTGACGGAGCAAATCCTCCGACTTGGCTTCCTTCAAAGCCATCTCCCTCGCAAAGGCCGTCTCAGCCAGGTTCGACACGTAGCCATACAACAGGGCAGGCAAGAGCTCAATCTGCGGCCCAAACTTGTCACTGTTGTCTCGAACCTGCATGCACAGCGATTTGAACCTTTGCAGAAGGACATCGCCGCAGGAATCTGACTTTCCTTTCAGCAGCATGTCCACCGCCAGTGCAATCGTGCGCAACTCACGCAACGACTGACCAGGGAAGTTCTTTGGTCCAATGGCTGGGATGATCACCGTCAGGAGGTACCTGGTCACAACGGGGGAAAGCTTGCCTTCGTCCCCCTGGATGTCACCGAAGCTTGCACCGAGCTGCTCCTGCATGTTCTCCAGGGCACTCATCATCAGCTTGCCCGGCGTGTTTTCTGCAATCTTCTTGTACTTTTTCTTTCTTTCTTCCCAACTGCCACCACGGTCAGGGCTCGGGTCAGCATCCAGCTCATCACTGGACTCATCCGAGGATCCTCTCGAATCATCTTTTGCTTTGCGCTTGCTTACCATAGCCTTTGTGAGCTCCTTGAGGACTTTTCCGGAGGATGACTTCTTCTTCTTCTTTTTCTTCACTCCTGCAACTTCATTGGCCCGCTTTGCAAGTATGTTTCCCGGTTTCTTCGAGCCACTTGCATCACTCGTGACTTTGCCTCGCAACTTTTGTCGGAGCGCGTCCAACTTGTCCTCAAGTCCACGTCTGGATGTATCGTCCGGCTCATGATCCAGCATTGCATCCAATGCCGTGCGGCCCTTGTCACCTCCATCCGTCCTTGAAGTGTTCCTGCGGCTTTTGTCTTCTCTCTTTCGAGGTGGTTGCTCTTCGACTTGATCTTCTGTTTCATCGGGTGACCTGCGGCGTCTGCGAGGCAGCTCGGGACGGGACTTTGACTTGGGCGTTGCACCCACTGGCTCAGTATCCTCATCCTCCTCATCGTCATCTTCTTCTTTCAGACCTGGTTGCCCCTCATCACCGGCACGCCCACCGGCAGGGACTGCCAACCCTGGGAAACCCCAGGAGACCAGGACTCGATGTGCATCGTCACGCTCAACAGGAGCCCAACGTCGCACATGAATGACTTCACCATCATTGACCTTGGCCTTGCACTGTTTCACGTCCTCTTTGCAGAAGTGATGCAAGGCACCTTCAGGCAGGCCCCCAGCGGAACCTTCATTCTCAATGTACCACTGGTAGTGCTCATTGTTGGAGCCTAAGTAACGCAACCTAATGAAAGCTCCACCTTCATCAGGCAAGAATCTTCCCTTTGCCTCCGTAATCGCCTGCCCAATGGCTTCGTACTTGTCGTCGTAAACCTCGATCAAGTAGTAGTTCACGGCAGCATAGTACATTGACTCGAAGGTCACGCTTGAGACGTGTACTCCGTCCACCAGCTTAATGCTGGCACCTTCCTTCTCTTTGTGTCTTTTAGGCATTTTTGCCTGGCAGTCCTACCCCTGCCACCACAGAGGGTTTATGAACTGCAGCTGCGCCCTCAGCTTTTCTCCCCAGCCAACACTGGGGTGAAGAGCTCAACACTCTTGAGAGAGAACAGCTACAGAAAGGAAGACGGCATGTTCAAAAACTCAGTCGTGACATGCACCCAGCTTCCCCTTACATGAAATTCCAGGGTCCACATATTTCCATCCTTACCCGTTAGACTTTAAAGCTTCGGATGAAAATCCATGTCTTCGTCCACCTCATCACCTCACTTAGCGCCACTCTTTTTTGGCTCTCGCGGAGCCATGTCAAAGGAACCACAGTGCAAGCAGAAGTTCCAGCTTTCAGCTATGACTTGGTCTACGCCCAGCACCATTAGGCCGGAAGCCAGGAACCTCCACATGGCCAGTGGCCAATTGTTGCGGCCTGGCCATTCGCTCATAGAGGCAACCCCTCCGGGGACGGCCATCCCGGCGCCATTTCAGACGGCCGGTCACACGTCCGTTCACTTCTTCTTGGGAGCAGCCTCCTTGAAGCCTTCAATCCAATTGATGGCCCAGAAGTCATGGGCCAAGTTCTCCTGAGTGATCCAGGCATAGGGCATGTAGAAGTAGCCCTTGTCTCCCCAGCCTTCGCCCCAGGAATTGCGCACCTCAGATGTGGTATATAAAGTCAGAGGTGGTTCAGAGGTCTGTTGACTGTCTTCAAGTAGCAGGCAGCTCAGAAACTGTCGTTTGCTGCTTCAACATCAGACAGCAGGGGAAAAAAAAAAACACCCATCTCCAGCTCTGCTAGGCCACGATGAAGCATTCCTTGAAATCGTCATAGCCCACAGCAGTCACTGCATGGCCTGTCGAAAGACCAGACTTTTTGACATGGGGTTGTCCAGAACAACCTGAAAATTGCACTTATATGATCGGTAAAATGATGATAAACAATGGGATTGTGGATATAAATGATATAAATTGATAATAATAATAATAATAATAATATATATATATATATATCAGTATACATATACATATGTAATATGATGATATCAATGGATATCATGTTTTTCAATTTATATCCTATCTTTTGACAAACCGGACATTTTGCCATTCAGCTTCAGATCTCAGTGGCCTCCTCGGACCTTGTCGTTGGGCTGTGGCATCACCATCTTCCCATCCTTCGCGGCCTCGTTGAAGCTGGTCAGGACTGTGAAGCCAAACCTCGGTAGCTGGGAATCATGGATTGGGAAATGGGAAAATCTACAGGAAACCATGGTTTTTACTACATCAAATATAGGGGGTTTCCGGTAAATTTTCCCATCCAATTCTATGAATGATCCAGTCCCACATCCTAATCATCCTAGTGTGACATCCTATGACCCAGGTGTGAAATCATAATTTTTCACCACAAAGAATCATGGAGTTCCAAGCAGTACCCAGTGCTTGGGAAGCTGTTGATATTGTTGATCCGTAGACATCCAGGATGACATCCACTTCATCCAAGCAGCACGAAGGGATATCCGTTCTTGATGCAGGCCTGACAGGATCTGAGCCGTGGATAAACGTGCAATTTCTGGAGGAAGTATCCCATTCCAAGAATACCGCCAACAAAATCTGGTAGAATATTCAATCAAGAGATTCCCCTTCAGAAATCTTCAGAACAGTTTTCTCCAACCTTTCCCCATCTGTTTCAAACATCAATTTGAAGTGGTGCTGGCATCTTGGGCGCCCATGGCACCTTCATCTGAGACAAGTCCTGTGCCACGTGAGCATAGCCCTTGACTCGGCACTTGGACGCGAGCTCATAGGATTTCTTGTCGGGCTGTTCCTTGAAGAAACCGCCCTTGTCGTCATACCTAGATGGGTCGCGCCATAGAAAACGCCACCTTTGGGACATCCTGGGACCGTTGATCACTTAAAGGGATACTTTGGGGGTAAATAAATCGACGCTCCTACCGTAGTTTACCTTCTTGCAAGTAAATTGTTGTAGAGCTTCACTGGTCCAGATCCGATTTGTTACATGTTACATCTCGCAAGCAGTTGCTAGTCCCGTCTCCAATCCCTTTCAGCCCAAACCAACGGCAAACAACAAACTCACATGCCACCGCAATGTGCCTTCTGATAAGCCAACCCCCATCCACACCATCGCATGCTATCCATCCAAGGGACTTCCAGACAGCCTCTGGGCACACACCGAGCTTCTCCATGCATTTGATACCGTCACGAATCATAGCACCCGCATCGCGGTCCACGCTGCCCTCCATGTACCTGCCGGGCCGGCCACAGAAAGAAAACGTCCGGCAACCGGCAACCTCCAGAGCACAATATGAATTCTCACCGATGTTACTGTCTTGCTGGTCTTGCTGTTTTTGTGCAAGCAGTCAGCAACCTGCCACCAACTACCCAGCGCCTCTCGTTGTAGTAGATGAACAGCCGGCTGGGGGTGAAGTCCTTGAAATCTGCATGGTTCTCCACGTTCTGCCTTGGATTTGATCATACGCTCCCAATAAAAATCGTCCCATTTGCAGATTCCAAGGGTTGGCGGAACTGTGTTTCCCGTGTCTTGTTGGATTTGATCGAATCGGCTGGTGGATGTTCTCCCTTTTTCCCCAAGTGACTTGCCCAAGTGTTTGTGTCTTTGTTCCATCAGGTGGAACATTGCTTTGTGTTGTTCCATTATGTTCCATTTTCTCGTAACAAAAGCACGACAAAACAAGAACAAAATGAACTTAAAAGAACAAAACTATACAAACTGCCACCTTCTCAGCCCAAAGCTGCTTGTGCAGGGTGAAGTGATAGGCAGCTGCCAAGGCATTTGCCGTACAGCTGCCCAAGTGGCCCTGGTTGAAAATGGGGAAGCCACCGTTCTGCGGACGCAGGTCCACGATCTCCTTGGATCCCTCGCTCTTCCTGGGTTTCAACAGATTTCAGGTGCAGATTTCGGGTTTCTCTGCTGCGGTATCCTCAAGCATCCCCCGATAAAGAACGGGGGTTGTGTATCTGCTGCGGTACCTCAAGTCCTCTCAAGTCTGCAAAGATCCTCCAATGAAGAATGCTGCATAACCAGGCCCGGTGACAGTGGGATCTATGACGTACAGCTGGGTCTATTTAAAGTCAAGACTCTTCTTGATCTCCTTGGAAGCCTCCTTGGTGGTGGAAAAGGTCATGTGCAAGTCACGATGATCTGGGATATCTGGAATCCAACCCATCTTCTCCGTGCTCGTCAAGGACATGGTTTGCATCCTGGGATTCCTGGCAGGCTGGAAGCGTAAAAAACACCCGTTGAAATCTGGGACCCGTGGTTCCTGTTGTCGGACTCCAAAGCTGGGCGGTCTTCCCAAACCAGCCACATTTGCTACAGTCACCTGCCTTTCCTCCCGAAACATCCGAAACTGCCATTCATCCCGAAACTTCATGTCAATAGTGTAATTATCTGTTTCAGTCATGCAACAGCATACTTCCGATGGGTTTCAGTTTCAGCCTCTCCTTACTGCGAAACAACAAGCAGCACTAAGACCCTAAGCCACCCTGGCCTGGTGGTGTTGGTAACGATCTCAGCATCACTGACGGTCTTGCTCTCGCAGCTTCCCATGGTGTTGCGCTACAACGGTCGGTCGGCGCGAGCAGGAAATGTGAAGGACTTCAGCCCAGGTGCTGCGCGAGGTGGCCAATTGAGACAATCATATCACCACAAGGATGGAAAATCACAGATACATACAGATACTGTCTCCGAATCTCACATAGAAATCACCTTGAAGAGAAAACGATCCAAAAGTGGGAACTTTATACAACCATGTCTGCTCACCAGAGGTCAGATAAAAGCACCAGCCAAATGGAAGCCACAACACCCCCGTCAATACAAAGTCATCTTTTGCGCGTCTTTGTTCGACTGCAGCAAGAAGAAACATCCTGGTCACCAATTTTGACCAAGCACATTGACATTGCCACTGGTGCAGCCAAAAAAGTGAGTCAGTCATTTGTTCACGATTCGATCAGTATGGGCGGGAACCCCTTTCGGGGACAGCCGTCCCGGCATCCTTTCAGGCGTCTGGTCGCACGTCCGTTCACTTCTTCTTGGGAGCAGCCTCCTTGAAGCCTTCAATCCAATTGATGGCCCAGAAGTCATGGGCCAAGTTCTCCTGAGTGATCCAGGCGTAGGGCATGTAGAAGTAGCCCTTGTCTCCCCAGCCTTCGCCCCAGGAATTGCGCACCTCAGATGTGGTATATAAAGTCAGAGGTGGTTCAGAGGTCTGTTGACTGTCTTCAAGTAGCAGGCAGCTCAGAAACTGTCGTTTGCTGCTTCAACATCAGACATCAGGGAAAAAAAACACCCATCTCCAGCTCTGCTAGGCCACGATGAAGCATTCCTTGAAATCATCATAGCCCACGGCAGTCACAGCATGGCCTGGTCAAAGATCAAAGTGTTTCAGAACTTTCAGATGCCAGGGTGAAAGATGTGACTTAAGCGACTTAAGCATCAAACATCAGGATTCAACCATCGCAGCGGAATTGACGAGACATGACGGAATTTTCATGAAAGGATGCGAGTCGGATCCGGCGCTGTCCACTGGGGATGAAAATGGCAATTCTCATGGCATCCCAAAGCATCCCAAGGCCAAGCCTCCTCGGACCTTGTCGTTAGGCTGTGGCATCACCATCTTCCCATCCTTCGCGGCCTCCTTGAAGCTGGTCAGGACTGTGAAGCCAAACCTCAGTCGGTAGCTGCTTGGGCTTTTTTTAAAGGTATGGTAGGGGGAGAAAAAAATCGACCCAAACGCGTGACTTTCGGAAGCCAGTGTTTCAGGGCTACCGAAAAACAGGAACCATGTAGTGAAAATGAACCCCTGGTGGCAGCTTTTTTGAAAAGCATTCCTGGTCGACAATTGACTCATCTCATTCCGTCATTCCGCCACCAAACTGAGGAATTCCAACTGAATGAAGTGGAGAATAGGGGAGATGGTTGGGAAATGATGCTTGTTTCACCCTGCGAGATACCATTGTATTTGTGAAATCATAATTTTTCACCACAAAGAATCATGGAGTCCCAAGCAGTGCAATATGACCTACTGGTTGAGAAGGTTTGGATCCGCAGCCATCTCTTCATCCAAGCAGCACAAAGGGATATCCGTTCTTGATGCAGGCCTGACAGGATCGGAGCCGTGGATCGAACCAATGTCATCCCCAGCAAAAAACTCATCTCATTCACAGAATTGAGTCAACTGTCAACAAAGTTGAGCAGAATCCTTGACGAGTCCCACTTCAGAAATCTTCAGAACAGTTTTCTCCAACCTTTTCCCATCTGTTTCAAACATCAATTTGCCCATGGCACCTTCATCTGAGACAAGTCCTGTGCCACGTGAGCATAGCCCTTGACTCGGCACTTGGACGCGAGCTCATAGGATTTCTTATCGGGCTGTTCCTTGAAGAAGCCGTCCTTGTCGTCATACCTAGATCGGTCGTGCATGGTCCTGTCCCCTGGGGGGCCGTCGGTTGATCACTTCGGGGGTCGCGAATACTTCGACGTTTCTGCCTTCTGCCATGCAAAATTGTAAGGATGCAGAGATTGGATTTGTGGGCGTCCAATCAAAATATCAGTTACATGATGTTGCAGTAACATCTCACACGCCAGTAACTGCTAGTCCTTCCTTCACTTCTTTCAAACCCAAATCCACTCAAACAACAAAGTAACCAGCCATCCAACTGCATTCGTACCATCCCATGCCATGAATCCACATAAATCCAAGAGACTTCCAGACGGCCTCTGGGCACACACCGAGTTTCTCCATGCATTTGATACCGTCGCGCAACGAGGCACCCGCATCACGGTCCACGCTGCCCTCCATGTACCTGCTAGGCCACCAAAAAGTTAGAGCAACCATCAGCAACCCAAAGAAAAACATCAAAAATGTTCTAGCCTTGCTGTTGGTGTACTTTCCCAACAACTATTGAAGCTGGCCCCTGCCCAGCACGGGAAACCTAAACAAGCTGCAAGCAAACAGCTAAAAGCAAGCCAAAACGACAACCAGCTTAAGCAACCAGGTAAAGCATCAGCAAAGGCAACCAACTAGAGCAACATAGAGCAACCAGCTAAAGCAACCAGCTAAAGCAACCAGCTAAAGCAATCAGCGAAAACAACCAGCTAAAGCAACCAGCTACAGCAATCAGCAAAAGCAACCAGCTAAAGTAACCAACAAGCCACTAGTAGCCAACAACCTGCCACCAACCTCCCGCACCTCTCGTTGTAGTAGATGAACAGCCGGCTGGGTGTGAAGTCCTTGAAATCCGCATGGTTCTCCACGTTCTGCCTTGGATTTGATAATCCGCTCATCAATTAAAATCAACCCACTTGAAGTGTTGGTGGATGTGTTCTCGATTGCTATTGGATTGTTTCATGTGTTGTCCCATTTTGATCTGACTATATATATATATAATTATATATATATAGTATTTGTTGGATGTTGTATGATATTAAATTATCCCATAGGAGTCTTTTTCAACTTGTTTGTGACTTTGTTCCATTTGCTTGGTGGATTTTTCTGGTATTGTTCGAGTTTAATTTTCTCGCAAAAAGAAAGCTGCTACACTCTCAACCCAAAGCTGCTTGTGCAGGGTGAAGTGATAGGCAGCTGCCAAGGCATTTGCCGTACAGCTGCCCAAGTGGCCCTGGTTGAAGATGGGGAAGCCACCGTTCTGCGGACGCAGATCCACTACCTCCTTGGATCCCTCGCTCTTCCTGGGTGACTTGGCAGTGGTGACTACTGAGTTTCCGCTGATTTCGGGAGTCGTTTCTTTAGGGTATCTGCTGCAGTACCTCAAGTCCTCTCAAGTCTTCAAGGATCCTCCAATGAAGAACGCTGCATAACCAGGCCCGGTGACAGTGGGATCTATGACGTACAGCTGGGTCTATTTAAAGTCAAGACTCTTCTTGATCTCCTTGGAAGCCTCCTTGGTGGTGGAAAAGGTCATGTGCAAGTCACGATGATCTGGGATATCTGGAATCCAACCCATCTTCTCAGTGCTCGTCAAGGACATGGTTTGCATCCTGGGATTCCTGGCAGGCTGGAAGCTTAAAAGCTTAAAAGAAAAACCGTTGAAACCTGGGACTGTAGTCCCTGTGGGTTAGATCTGTTAGACTCCAAAGCTGCAGCTAGGCCATCTTCCCAAACGGCGAACTTTGCAGCTTTCTTCCGATGGGTATGACTCGGTATGAACCTCTTCTTCATCAACAACAAGCAACACTAAGACTCTAAGCCACCCCGGCCTGGTGGTGTCAACAACGATCTCAGCATCATTGATGGTCTTGCTCTCGCAGCTTCCCATGGTGTTTCGCTACAATGGTCAGTTAACGGGAGCAGCAAACGTGCAGGACTTGAGCCCAGTTGCTGAAGTGGAAATTGCGTGAGATGTTGGCTCATGTTGGCTCACTTTTTTCTGATTGTCCGACCTGGAAGATGAATGAAAACTGAGACCAACATCACAATGGAAGATATTGGAAGATCAGAAATCCCGGAAAAAATCCGCTGCCCTGTTGGTCACAACACCCCTGTTGCCAGGTCATCTTTTGTGCGTCTTTGTTCGACAGCTAAAAGAAACATCCTGGTCACCAATTTTGACCAAGCACATTGACATTGCAACTGGTGCAGCCAAAAGAAGTAGGTGGCACACGGCCTAGCCATTTGTTCACCATTCAGCATGGGTGGCAACCCCTTTCGGGGACAGCCATCTCGGCGCCCTTTCAGGCGTCTGTTCACACGTCCGTTCACTTCTTCTTGGGAGCAGCCTCCTTGAAGCCTTCAATCCAATTGATGGCCCAGAAGTCCTGGGCCAAGTTCTCCTGAGTGATCCAGGCGTAGGGCATGTAGAAGTAGCCCTTGTCTCCCCAGTCCTCGCCCCAGGAATTGCGCACCTTAGATGTGTCGGAGGTTTGGAAGTCTGTTGGCTGTCTGCAAGTAAGCAGCCAGCGGGAAAAACATTGCAGTCAGTATATCGCAGTTTGATTATCAATTCTCGTCCAGGTGCGTCATATGCGCTTTTGTGTTCTCTTGGACTGGGAAATGCGAAAACAAAACTTCTCATTGGTATCTTGCTGGGCACGATTTGGAGATTCTAAAAGCTTTTTGTTTGCCCCTGGCACCAGAACGAAGTGCCTTGAATTATGTGAATCCCCGGTGATATGTAGTTGTTATGTTGTTGCGGGGACAAGACAAAACCAATCTCCAGCTCTGCTAGGCCACGATGAAGCATTCCTTGAAGTCATCGTAGCCCACGGCTGTCACAGCATGGCCTGCAACGATCTCAAGATGAATCAAGATGAATCTTGTCGGAACCCCACACTGCAGCCTACGAAGGCAACCCATCAAGAAATCCATGCGAAAATATTTGAAACTCAAATCATCGACCTGTGCCACATTATGCCACGCACTGGGTTGTCAGGCCTTTTTTGGGCATCCCTAGGCATCCCAAGGCATCCCAAGGCATCCCTAGGCATCCCAAGGCATCCCAAAGCATCCCAAGGCCAAGCCTCCTCGGACCTTGTCGTTAGGCTGAGGCATCACCATCTTCCCGTCTTTTGCTGCCTCACTGAAGCTGGTCAGCACTGTGAAGCCAAACCTCGGCGGCAGCACTAGGCAGGATGGAACCCTGTGGGTGTTGGGAAGGTTTGGATCCGCAGCCATCTCTTCATCCAAGATCATCCAAGCAGCACAAAGGGATATCCGTTCTTGATGCAGGCCTGACAGGATCGGAGCCGTGGATCGAACCAATGTCATCCCCAGCAAAAAACTCATCTCGTTCACAGAATTGAGACAACTGTCAACAAAGTTGAGCAGAATCCTTGACGAGTCCCACTTCAGAAATCTTCCGAACAGTTTTCTCCAACCTTTTCCCATCTGTTTCAAACATCAATTTGAAGTGGTGCTGGCATCTTGGGCGCCCATGGCACCTTCATCTGAGACAAGTCCTGTGCCACGTGAGCATAGCCCTTCACTCGGCACTTGGACGCGAGCTCATAGGATTTCTTGTCGGGCTGTTCCTTGAAGAAGCCGTTCTTGTCGTCATACCTAGATGGGTCATGCATGGTTCTGTCCCCTGGGGGGCCGTCGGTTGATCACTTCGGGGGTCGCGAATACTTCGACGTTCCTACCTTCTGGCATGCAAATGTCCAAAAACTGCAGAGGTCCAGGGATTGGATGTGTGGGTGTCAAATCCAAATAGTTGCATCATTTTACGGTTACACAATGAAATTGCTAGTCCTCTCTCCACTTCCTTTAAGCCTTAAGCCCAAACCAACATCAAACAACAAACTTACATGCGACTGTGATGCACCCCATCTTCCAGCCACAGCCCCATCCACACCATCCCGTGCCATCCATCGTCCAAGGCACTTCCAGACAGCCTCTGGGCACACACCGAGCTTCTCCATGCATTTGATTCCGTCACGAATCATAGCACCCGCATCACGGTCCACGCTGCCCTCCATGTACCTGCTGGGCCGGCCACAAGAGAAACATGAAAAGCTCTGCCCCTCCCCAGCACCAGAAACCTAAAACCAGCCAGCAACGAGCAGCCAGGAACCGGCTAGCAACCAGCAACCAACCAGTAACGAACTGGTAGTCAGCAACCTGACCTGCCACAAACCTCCCAGCGCCTCTCATTGTAGTAGATGAACAGCCGGCTGGGGGTGAAGTCCTTGAAATCCGCATGGTTCTCCACGTTCTGCCTTGGCTTTGGGGACCCGGGAGCTCAAAAAATAAACTCAAACAACTTCCTCACCAATTCCGAATCCTCATCTGTTGATGTCTTCTCGTTGTGTTTGGTCGATTGATGATCAATTGCTGTCATTTTTGGTGGATGTTCAGTGGTGTTTTTCCTCGTTTGTCGGAGGGGTGTTCTAATTGTTTGTGATTTTGTTCGGTTTGTTTGGTGTTTTTTTTGCCTGGTGTTGTTCGATCTTCATCGTAACATATCGTAACAAAAGAATTAAAAAGCTGCTACACTCTCAACCCAAAGCTGCTTGTGCAGGGTGAAGTGATAGGCAGCTGCCAAGGCATTTGCCGTACAGCTGCCCAAGTGGCCCTGGTTGAAGATGGGGAAGCCACCGTTCTGCGGACGCAGATCCACTACCTCCTTGGATCCCTCGCTCTTCCTGGGTGACTTGGCAGTGGTGACTACTGAGTTTCCGCTGATTTCGGGAGTCGTTTCTTTAGGGTATCTGCTGCAGTACCTCAAGTCCTCTCAAGTCTGCAAAGATCCTCCAATGAAGAACGCTGCATAACCAGGCCCGGTGACAGTGGGATCTATGACGTACAGCTGGGTCTATTTAAAGTCAAGACTCTTCTTGATCTCCTTGGAAGCCTCCTTGGTGGTGGAAAAGGTCATGTGCAAGTCACGATGATCTGGGATATCTGGAATCCAACCCATCTTCTCCGTGCTCGTCAAGGACATGGTTTGCATCCTGGGATTCCTGGCAGGCTGGAAGCTAAGAGCTTAAGAGAAAAAAACCTGGGACTGTAGTCCCTGTTTTGTTGAATCTGCTAGACTCCAAAGCTAGGCCGTCTTCCCAAACGGCGAACTTTGCAGCTTGCTTCCGATGGGTATGACTCGGTATGAACCTCTTCTTCATCAACAACAAGCAACACTAAGACTCGAAGCCACCCCGGCCTGGTGGTGTCAACAACAATCTCAGCATCATTGATGGTCTTGCTCTCGCAGCTTCCCATGGTGTTTCGCTACAATGGTCAGTTAACGGGAGCAGCAAACGTGCAGGACTTGAGCCCAGGTGCTGAAGTGAAATTGCGTGAGGTGTTGGCTCATGTTGGCTCACTTTTTTCTGATTGTCCGACCTGGAAGATAAATGAAAACTGAGACCAACATCACAATGGAAGATATTGGAAATTCAGAAATCCCAGAAAATTTCCGCTGCCCTGTTGGTCTACAAGAGGTGGGTTTAAAGCACCAGCCAAATGAATCCAAATGGAGGTCACAACACCCTGTTGCCAGGTCATCTTTTGCGCGTCTTTGTTCGACAGCAAAAAGAAACATCCTGGTCACCAATTTTGACCAAGCACATTGACATTGCAACTGGTGCAGCCAAAAGAAGTAGGTGGCACACGGCCTAGCCATTTGTTCACCATTCAGCATGGGTGGCAACCCCTTTCGGGGACAGCAATCTCGGCGCCCTTTCAGGCGTCTGGTCACACGTCCGTTCACTTCTTCTTGGGAGCAGCCTCCTTGAAGCCTTCAATCCAATTGATGGCCCAGAAGTCCTGGGCCAAGTTCTCCTGAGTGATCCAGGCGTAGGGCATGTAGAAGTAGCCCTTGTCTCCCCAGTCCTCGCCCCAGGAATTGCGCACCTTAGATGTGTCGGGGGTTTGGAAGTCTGTTGGCTGTCTGCAAGTACGCAGCAACGGGGAAAAAAAATCATCGCAGTAATCGCAGTTTGATTATCAATTCTCGTCCAGGTGCGTCATATGCTCCTATGTGTTCTCTTGGACTGGGAAGTGCAAAAACAAAACTTCTCATTGGTATCTTGCTGGGCACGATTTGGAGATTCTAAAAGCTTTTTGTTTGCGCCTGGCACCAGAAGTGCCTTGAATTATGTGAATCCCAGGTGATATGCAGTTGTTATGTTGTTGAGGGGACAAGACAAAACCAATCTCCAGCTCTGCTAGGCCACGATGAAGCATTCCTTGAAGTCATCGTAGCCCACGGCTGTCACAGCATGGCCTGCAACGATCTCAAGATGAATCAAGATGAGTCTTGTCGGAACCCCACACTGCAGCCTACGAAGGCAACCCATCAAGAAATCCATGCGAAAATATTTGAAACTCAAATCATCGACCTGTGCCACATTATGCCACGCACTGGGTTGTCAGGCCTTTTTTGGGCATCCCTAGGCATCCCAAGGCATCCCAAGGCATCCCTAGGCATCCCTAGGCATCCCAAGGCATCCCAAGGCCAAGCCTCCTCGGACCTTGTCGTTAGGCTGAGGCATCACCATCTTCCCGTCTTTTGCTGCCTCACTGAAGCTGGTCAGCACTGTGAAGCCAAACCTCGGCGGCAGCACTAGGCAGGATGGAACCCTGTGGGTGTTGGGAAGGTTTGGATCCGCAGCCATCTCTTCATCCAAGCAGCACAAAGGGATATCCGTTCTTGATGCAGGCCTGACAGGATCCAAGTTGTGGATCGAACCAATGTCATCCCCAGCAAAAAACTCATCTCGTTCACAGAATTGAGACAACTGTCAACAAAGTTGAGCAGAATCCTTGACGAGTCCCACTTCAGAAATCTTCCGAACAGTTTTCTCCAACCTTTTCCCATCT